TTAGAATTGAGAGTTACTAATAATAGACTCTGCTGATAGAACACTGAGCAACTGGTCTTCCTGCACCCTGTAACAGTGCAACTCATAACTTCAGCCTCAAGCTAGAGCATTTAAAGGAGTATTAAGGATCTGATTCTGTCACGGAGGTCACGGATACCATGACTTCAATGGACCTCCATGACTTCTCTGGGTTCTGCCTGCAACAGCGCGGCTGGAACAGCTGTCAGCCCCCCACCCAAGAGCAGCAGTAGGGCTGGAGTGGTGGCCTGAGCCAGAGCAGTGGCTGGCAGTCTGCCCATACTGCTGGAGTAGTGGCTGCCAGAGCAGCGGAAAGGGCCGGGTCAGCCACCACTGGAGCAGATGCAACAGCTGCTGCCACAAGAGCAGCTCCTGGGGCTGCTGGGTTGGGGGCCCAGGGCTGGAGCAGTGGCCACTGCCTCAGGAGCAGCAGCCAGGGCCAGGTCAGCCCCCAGGGCTGGGCAGAAGCAGCAGCCGCCACTACAGAAGCAGACCCTGGGGCCGCTGGATCAGTTCCCAGGGCCAGAGCAGGAGCAGCGGCTGTCAGGGCCAGCAGTCAGCCATTGCTGCAAGAGCAGTGGCTGGGCTGGAGCAGTGGCTGGGCTGGGTCAATGCCGCAGGAGGAGCAGCGGGGTTGGAGCAGCGGCCTGCAGTCAGCCTGTGGCTGTTAGTGTTTTTAGTAAAAGTCACGGACAGGTTGCGGGCATCTGTGAATTTTTTTTATTGTCCGCTATCTGTCCATGACCTTTATTAAAAATACCTGTTGCAAAATCTTAACCTTAAGTATTATTGACAGGAGGAAGAGAGTGAGAACAGATTAGTCAAATTTTAATCTTTCTTTTTAATGGTCAGGCTGAGACACGTGTAACAATCAAAACCTATAATTTTCCATTTAATTTGAAAGGAAAGAAGTGCCAATGCCAGCTGTCTATATTTTTTTTAAAAGCCTAGTTTGTTTTGGAATTGGTGTTTGGGGGGAATAGAATTTAACAAATAAAGTTTGTGAAGTTTATGGCAGATATCTGTATTATTTTATGAATATTATGTAAACCTCAATTTGATTGCTATATAGTTTAAAGGGTGTCAACTCCTGCCACAGCTCACCCCACGTCAGGAAGGCAGACAATGGCTTTATATAACCCAGTCACTGGTACTTAACTGACAATACAGGTGTCAAAACCTTTGAAGTTTTGCCTCTGACCAAGCTGGGCCCAACATCCATTGTTTTGGGTTATGGGAGGGGACCTTCAGGCAAGAAACTTGAAGCAAAGAACTCTAGAGTAGATAAAATCCTGAGGCCCTAAGAGGCAGTGACTGCAGAGAAGCAGTCTGAATCCCAGTCCTCAGAAGTGAAAGTACCTAGGATAAGTTGGGGTTACCTACGCTTTGAGGGAAATGTTAAAAGGGAAACCATATGTGTGTGGGTCTCTTGTTTTAGCCCTTTTCCTGTGAATCCTATGTTCCTATGGATAAATAAATAATTGTTTTGAAACAACTATTCTGTGTCCCTGTATTTACCTGGTGATCAATCGCTCCCAAAGGGAAATCTCTCTTGCAGGTGCAGTTAGACCTGCTGAGAAATCATGGCTGGGTTCTGTAGCTCGGACTATGAGGGAAAGAATCATGGGATTCCACCCTGAGATGAGTGAAGGCACAGGGCCTGTCACTTGAAAGGATGCAATGGAGAGAGATAGAAGAGGGATCAAAGCTGCAGCTAATCCTGTAACTGTGATCATGGGGTATTAATTTTAGTCTTTGAATCTGTGTGTGTAATTGGTGCATATCTTTGATTGATTTAGGGAATCGGGGAATGATCCTAAGTACTGAGCACCCTCAACTCACATTGAAGCCTATGGAAGTTGAGGGCAATTTTGCAGGATCAAACTCTACGGTGAAAGTTTTTCTTTCTTTCTTTCTTTTTCATAGCTATTTTTATTCACTTTTTATTTTATCTCTCAGCGCCTCCTCCTGTTGCCATGGCAACATGCAGTAGCAGTTAAATTGTACTGCTAATGTGCCTTTTCCTGTAGTAGAATGGTAATAGCTAATATTTGATCTAGCCCAAGTGCTGACTCAGGGATGCAGTTGTACATATACTCTCCCTCTTTACTCTTTTTAATGAATAATGCATCAGTCTCATTCACCTTGTGCTTCTTAAAAGTGATATCCAGTCACAGTTAATTACTTCAATTTTCTTTTTTGATGCCTACACCATTGAAGTGTTGGAATTAGCTGATGTTATGAAACTGGCTTTAAAAACTCTGCTGAATTTGGAACAAAATGGCACAGGACAATGAGAAGCATGAGACTTATCTTTCTAAGCAAAAGTTGTAGAAATCCATATGCTAGTCTGAAAGAATCTACCCCATATTTTTCCCTTTGGAAAAATGTAAATAGAGAATTTCTCTCCAGCACATTCAATTATATAAATCTAACATTGCATTCCAACTAACTTTTAAAAGCATCCCCATTTGCTTTGTAGTGCTCCATCAAGCTGAATGGAAACTTTTTTTAAAAAAGCCCCACCATAATAGAAGCTCAAATTAAATGTATACCCCAAATTTAAAAAATAGTAAGAGGATCAAAAAAATGCCACCAGGGCTAAACAACAGAGTTAAAGAGGTGGTTAGAGGCAAAAAGGCATCCTTTAAAAATTGGAAGTCAACTCCCACTGAGGAAAGTAGAAAGAAGCATAAATTTTGGCAAGTCCAAGAATAATTAGGCAGGCCAAAAAAGAATTTGAGAGCAACTAGCAAAAGACTCAAAAACTAACAGCAAAATATTAAGTACATCAGAAGCAGGAAGCCTGCCAAACAATCAATGGGGCCACTGAACCATGGAGGTGCTAAAGGAGCACTCAAGGAAAACCAGGCCATTGTGGAGAAGCTAAATGAATTCTTTGCATTGGTCTTCACTGCAGAGGATGTGAGGGAGATTCCCAGACCTGAGCTATTCTTTTTAGGTGTCAAATCTGAGGAACAGTCTCATATTGAGGTCAATAGAGGAGGTTTTGGAACAAATTGATAAATTAAGCAGTCATAAGTCACCAGGACCAGATGTATAGAACTACTAATTGTGGTATGTAACCTATCACTTAAATCAGCCTCTGTACCAGATTACTGGAGGATAGCTAATGTGACACTAATTTTTTTAAAAGGCTCCAGAAGCGATCCTGTCAATTGCCTGGTACTGAAGTTAGGCTTACCAGCCTGTAAACTGGTTGAAACTATAGCAAAGAGCAGAATTGCCAGGTGCATAGATTAACACAATTTGTTGGGGGAAAGTCAACATGGCTTTTGTAAAGGGAAATCATGCCTCACCAATCTATTAGAGTTCTTTGAGGGGGTCAACAAACATATGGACAAGGGTGAGCCAGTGGATATAGTGTATTTGGACTTTCAGAAGGCTTTGGACAAGGTCCTTCACCAAAGGCTCTAAGCAAACTAAGCAGTCTTGGGGTAAGAGGGAAGGTCCTCTCATGGATCAGTAACTGGTTAAAAGACAGGAAACAAAGGGTAGAAATGAACGGTCAGTTTTCCTAACGGAGAGAGGCAGTGTCCCCCAGAGATCTGTATTGGGACCAGTTCTGTTCATCATATTCATAAATGATCTAGGAAAAGGGGTAAACAGTGAGGTGGCAAAGTTTGCAGACCATACACAATTACTCAAGATTGTTAAGTCCAAAGCAGACTGCGAAGAGTTACAAAGGGATCTCACAAAACTGTGACTGGGCATATGAAATGGAATGTTGATAAGTGCAAAGTAATGCACATTGGAAAACATAATCTCAATTATACATATAAAATGATGGGGTCTAAATCAGCTGTTACCACTCAAGAAAGAGATCTTGGAGTCATTGTGGATAGTTCTCTGAAAACATCTGCTCAATGTGCAATAGCAGTCAAAAAAGCTAACAGTGTTAAGAAGTACACCTCTACCCCGATATAATGCAACCCGATATAACACGAATTCGGCTATAACGCGGTAAAGCAGTGCTCCAGGGGAGGCGGGGCTGCGCACTCCGGCGGATCAAAGCAAGTTCGATATAATGTGGTTTCACCTATAACGCGGTAAGATTTTTTTGGCTCCCGAGGACAGCGTTATATTGAGGTAGAGGTGTATTAGGAAGGAGATAGATAATAGGATGGAAAAGAACATAATGCCACTATATAAATCCATGGTACATCCAAACTTTGAATACTGTATGCAGCTCTGGTTACAGATATATTACAAATGGAAAAGAGACAGAGAAGGGCAACCAAAATGATTAAGGGTGTGAAACAGCTTCCATATGAGGAGAGATTTAAAAGACTGGGACTTTTCAGCTTGGAAAAGAGACAACTGAGGGGGGATGTCATGGGAGGTCTATAGAATCATGACTAATGTGGAGAAAATGAAGAATAAAGAAGTGATATTTACCCCTTCACATGACACAAGAACCATGGGTCACCCAATGAAATTAATAGGCAACAGGTTTAAAACAAACAAAAGGAAGAAACTGGTTCTTCACACAATGCACAGTCAACCTGTGGAACTTGTTGCCAGGGGATGTTGTGAAGGCCAAAACCATAACTGGGTTCAAAAAAGAATTAGATGAATTCATGGAGGATAGGTCCATCAATGGCTATTAGCCAAGATTGTCACAGATGTAACTCCGTGCTTTGGGTATCTCTAAGCTTCTGACTGCTAGATCCTGGGACTGGATAACAGGGTATGGTTCACTTGCTAATTGCTCTGTTCTGTTCACTTCCCTTTGAAGCATCTGGCATTGACCACTGTCAGAAGACAAGATACTGGGCAAGATGGACCATTTGTCTGACCCAGTATGGCCGTTTTTATGTTCTAATTTTATGCTGGGAAAACCCCAAATGTCAGAAACCTGTAGTGATGCTGAGAGTCAGGTAATGTGTAGCACACCTATATGTGTTCACGGTTGGCTGCATATAATTTTATTTTGTGTGTATTTTATCTTATTTTTGTAGAGAAAATCAGACAAAGATATGCAGATCTGCCAGGGGAGTTGCACATTATTGAGCTTGAGAAAGATAAGAATGGGCTTGGACTCAGCCTTGCTGGCAACAAGGACAGGTCTCGTATGAGCATTTTCATAGTTGGCATCAATCCAGATGGACCTGCAGGAAGAGATGGAAGAATGCACATTGGTGATGAACTTTTAGAGGTAAGTGATTCCTTTAGCTATATGATTGGGTTGGTGTCAAGAGAGGGAGGAAAGCCTGTGAACCTAGTAATGAAATACAAAATAAAGATTTGGTGCCAGTTCTTGGAACTGTGGTGACTTATGCCAGCTGAGGATCAAAGAAACAGAAGAAGGTATTAAGATGACTGGAAAATAGGTAACATTCACTATGCAGATGAGACAATGCTGTTGGCTGATTCAGAAGGTCTGATGAAGTTATTAGAGGTTATATGTGAATATGACAAAGAATATGGGTTAGAGTTGAATGTGGACAAGACAAAAACTTTGGTGGTATCCAATGATCCTGCAATATTCCAGTGAGCAACATAGTCATATAGTAAGTGAGACATTATTGCTACTTAGGAAGCATTACAGAAGATGGAAAATCAGATACTGAGGTCAGCACCAGAATAGCAAGAGTGAATTCTCGAAGAATAAACATCTAATGAGAAAGGGACATAATTTCCGACTGTTTAAAAACTTATATATGGTCTGTGTTAAATATTGTGATCCATTTTATTCAGTTGTTAGAATTTAAAACATTGTCTTCTTTCTTTCTTTTTGGTGATGTCTGGTGCAAACTAACCCACAGAGCAAGTTATTCTATCAGCAAATAAAGTATTTCTTCTTCCTTTCCCCTCCACCCCTTTTCATCTTCCGGCTTGAAACACATTTCAAACCTTTCGACCTGATATTTGACTACTGCAGAGTGGCACTTAGTGCTGAGGGTCTTTTGCTATTCCCGCAGTAGTTCCCACATCATGACTGCTTTACAGGTTTGAGAAATCATTCATCCCTGTGGATGTTTCTCTTCTCAAGAAGCTTTCACTGAAGAGAAGGTGTGGGCTGACCTATTAGACTCAGTGGGAGGTGATGTTAGATCTTTCAGCAATTCTGTCTCTGTGTTGTATGAGTACTGAGTATTTTCTCTCATTTCTTAACCTGAAAAGGAGAAGTCTGACTGTCTAGAGATGCCTTGGGAGCACTTAGAATTATCTAAAGATTTGTCAATGTCTAATTATAGGTTTTCAATACCCATGCAGTGTAAGAGGCTTGTTTTGAAATAAAGTATCACTGTATGAAAATTTGTCTCTGTTAGGGTGATAAATTGTGTTAAAGTCTCTGTCTCTTGCTGAAATAATGACAGGCAAATTGCCCTTTCCTGCAAATTCCTGTTGGTCCATGCTTCAGTTACTATAGAATCCTAGGGTTAGAAGGGACCGCAGGGGTCATCTAATCTAACCCCTTGTCAAATGCAGAATTTGTTGTGTTATAACTTTCAAGGGACCACTACATTTTAAGAAATGTTAAAAGGCAATTTGTCATTCTTTCTCACACTTGAGCCCTAAAGAAAAGATAATACTTTAGGCTTTGCTCGCTAAAGTCTAGTAACCTACCCATGCCTGTATTCTTTACTGACTCTCAACTCTGGCAAAACTCCCATTGATATCAGTGGATTTGTGGTTCAGGCAAAGAACTGGGGGAAAGATGGTTTCTATTAGTAGGTCTGGCACAGACTTTCTCGGTGGTCTTTTTAATCTCCATCAACTTCCTGGTGCCTCAGTTTCTCCATCTATAAAATGGGGGTAATAATACTTCCCTACCACACAAGAGTGTTACAAAGCTAAAATCATTAGTGCTTGTGAAGTCCTTTGACCTCCTCAGATGAAGCAGGGGAACTAGAATGGGCATTAAAACTTAAGACTGAGAGATGGAAACGCATGATGAAGTTGCAAGTTATTGTTTGTTTATTATGGGAGTTTGTACTTTGGCAGGAATGTAGATTCTGAAATGTACTAAGAATTAAAGATGAGTTGAACTAGACTGATAAATCTTGGGTGTGTACCAGCCCAAACAAAATGGACCCACAAATTAGAGTAGGTGTTATGCTGCTCAGAGATCAGGTAGTTTTGGATGCTAGCTCCCTGAACCTTGGAGGACTTTTACACCGATATGCTTACACAGATAGGGGGAGCCTCTGAGGTTTTCGCCTGACTCCTAAATTATTCCCTGCATCATATAATCCTTCTAACCATAGGTACTGCTGTCCTTGAGAGATGGGCCAAGTGGCATTTCTGGTGAATTTTATAAATATTTATTTTTAAATGTTACTTAGTAGATTTTTGGAGGGTTTGGCATTTGCATATGTGCTGTATGGTTGCAAGTTGCAAAAGAACTTGGTGTTGGCCTAACTCTGCTCCCTGTGAAGTCAGCGATAGAATCACAATTTCTACAGTGGAAGAAGAGTAGACCAGTGCTCACCATTTCTGAAAGTGCTATCCTGTAACTGAACAAACCATTCCACAGGCCTATAAGTAAATGCCACCTTTTGTTTACCTTTAGGATCAAATCAAACTCACCTCACTAGTGGCCAAAATTTACCATGTGATTACTTGACTTACATGAAATGATTGGGAGGTCTCAGTTCAATTCCAAGTGGGCAGAGGTCCACTGCACCAAAACATCTAGAATTGAAAAAGGAGTGAATTGTGAATCAGTCCCTTGACATTCCTGTGCGCTGTGAATTATTCAAACCAAGTGACTTATAGAGCCAAGTAAAGCTTTAAAACACCTCAGTTTTATATATATATATATATATATTAAAGTAAACATGCACCTCCATTAAAATGGCATTACTGGGGTAATCTTATTAGCAGTTTCGGCAACAAGCATAAAAATTGGAAGGGCTCTAAATCCTCATGCTGCAAGATATAAATTGATCACTATTTGGGGTTAGATGTCATACCCCCTCCACCAATGGTATAGTGTTATGCAGTTGGCTGGGTGTGCTTTTATCTACCTATATTACACACACACACACACACACACACACACACTAATTTAAAGAACATTAAGATTGCAAAGTCAAGCAGTCAAAAGTTAGGAAATCCCAGAATTAAAATTCCCTGTGCAATCTTCATTTGATCCCCATTGTTTGTATGTGTTATGATATCGTCTTTAATTACATGATCACATTCTATTTTTCCCACAGGAACCATGCCTCTTTCAGTGCACAGCATGGACAATGCTCATTTAATGAGAAACTGCTCAATATTTTGTCACATCTTCATTGTTCAGTGTGGGGCCCCCTGCTTTATTTATTCCATACTATTTATACCCTCCTCTAAAAACATTGTTTGTTTCCTCCTGGGCTTTTTTATGGCACTTGTCACTTACAGTATCTGAATGCTTCACAACCATTAATGAATTTGTCTTTACAACACCCCTGTGAGGTTGGGAAATACCTTTATCTCCATGTTACAGATGGGGAACTGAGGCACAGAGAGATTACCATCAAAAACGCCCACTGTTGTAGAGCCCAATTTGAGACGACTAGCACCTGATTTTTTCAGCGTACTTAGCGTTATATAGCATTTCATATGTTCAAAGCACAGCACCCATTGACTCCAGCTGCAGCTCTCAGTGCCCAAGTTTTCTACAAAGCAGACCCCAAGGCCTCAAGCAGGGCATACAGTTAGAACTGTGAAAAATTTGGTTTAAGTGACTCGCCCAGCATCACACAGACACTCTTGGGCAGAGGCAGGGACAGAATCCAGTTCTCTTGTTCAGCATTTAGTTGCCTTCACCGTGAGACCATCCTTTCTCTTCCTGCAACCCCCCTGCCTTATTCACTACGTATCTCCAGCTTCTGCAACAAATGACAGAGGGGCCTAAAGACAGCAACCTTCTTGCTTATGTACACTAAACAAGGCAGGGAGCCTATGGAAAAATAATATAGGATCATTATATTTTCCCACAAAAAATATTTTTAGGGTGTATCTATATCTATACACTGAGTGGGAAAATATTTATATTTACACAGTAGGTTCATCCCTATCCTCCTACTCTTTCAGAAGAAAAAGATGTGAGGCCAGATCCCTCTCTCTTTACACAAGCAGGTAGTCCCAGTGATTAAATAGAATTATTCCTGTTAGTAAAGTGAACAGGATTTGAGACTCAGACCCTAGAAGATCCATTGGAGGAAGTGATGTCATCTGAGTCCCTCTGTTTGGCCCAGTCTCTCAGGATCAGAACAACAATGGCCAAACAGTGTTGGAGTCCCAGGAGATGGTGGGAGTGGGGGCCATGGTGGTAAAACTTGCTGCAGTGGTTGTTGGTAGACAGCTTATTCTTCTGCTGCTGCTTGATTTTCTTTTAAGTCATTCCTTTTAAGACCCCAAAAGGGAATGATGGGTGAAACAGCCCATCCTCTCATTATTTTGTCCATCAATTAGACCTAATTTCTGATGCACCAATTTTGGTTTATTGATTTTCAGTTCTACCCGTTTTGAGTTTACTAGGCACGATTTTAACACAGTCCTTGAGAATTATATTTTTAGGCCTTTTTCTTCGGTCTAACCTAGATTTTGTCTCCCTTTTACATATAATATTTATTGTTTAACGTTATTGTGACATCTTATGAACTTTCACTTACCGCTTACAGTTAGGATAAATTTGTAGGCCCAATTATTACAACAGTTCCCATCACAGCTATGTGGTAAAGATAATATTCTTATATTAATACCCACTTTTAATGTCTTCTCACTTCTTTATATCGAAGTATGAGGGGCAGAAGATCCTCTGATTTTTTTTTTTCTGGGTTATGAACTTGCATGTCATTTACAGATTTAAGCAAGTGAATACAATGCGAGATACTTCTTAAGCTTGTGAAACCATCAGATAAAACTTCAGTTGCCCAAATCTATAGTACACGTTGCTATGCACTGGATGCTGCCTGGACTCAGCAAGCACATCATAAAACAACATAACTATTGCCACAGTGACAGAATAAAAACCTGTGCCTACTGACCTGATAACCATCATAACCAGGTGATGACACAATTTCTTCTCTCTGTGATGTCTTGATCTTTTCAAGAAGACGTGTTTTTTTTTTTTTAAATCCATATAGAGAGCCCATCGAGTCACTATGTTCATATCTATGTAGTTGGTTTTTTTTAGGGATAATGGAACTTTCTGAAGTTATTGTTAAGCATTGCAGCAAAAGAAAACATTTAACATAAGCAAACTGTAATGCAGAAAATCAAACATAGTTTTCAAGTAGCTGGCTGTGGGTTTTGATTCCCACAAAATAAAGTACGGTAAATATCCTACCGTATTTTGTGGCTCTGACATGTCTCCCATTGAAAATAAGAAAAGATTTCAAAAAGGTGGCCCTTGTTGAAATTCTAGATGTTCTCTTGCAGTTCCATTTCTGTAGGATTTTATATAATCCTTCATCACTGGGGTATCTGAGCCGCTAACATAATACATTTTCTTTCCAAAAGAAACCCTTTCCTTTAAAAAAAAAAAAAAATTAATTGAGGCTGTCACTGAAGAATAACTACATGGGATAGTTAAAAACCTCAAGGGAAATATATTACTTTGACTACATTTTCATTTTTGGATAATTAAAATAATTGTAACGTACAGACCTAACTCCAGCTAATTAAATTTTGGACTCTGATACATTTGCAAAGTAGGATTAATTTAACCAGTGTAAAAAATATAAATTCTAATCTAAATAGGCGGTTAAGAAAAATTGATGGCAATTCAACTAAATCCAAACTATTTATAAAACAGATATTATATCCCTAGTGAATATTTTTTTTAAATTGAGGAAAAAAATAAGACAACAAATTTATCACAAATTAATAATCTGCTAATTTGAACTCTGTCTCTATGGAAGTAGTCCCTTTTTGCCAATTTCTTAAATTTTACCTTTGAGTTTAGTATACCACCTCTAGAACTGTATCTCCTTGTGTGGTAATTGCAAATAATAATAACTTGAAGCTCTTCAAACTTTGGGGTAGTGTTATTTCCTTAATGCCTGATCCTTTCATGTTCTGTGTACCTCAAATTGCTATTGACCTCAGAGGGACTTTGGAGTATACAAGGAAAGCAGAATCAGATCTTACTATGCAAATAGATATATATATTTGGGCACTCCCAAATATCAAACTTTTGAAAGGGTGGTGAGGAAATGAAGTGTGTGTGTGTGTGGGGGGGGGGAATAAGAAATATATTTTGCAGGAGTATTTGTAAAATATGGATATGATTGCCATACAATTTGTTGCTGGATTACTTTAACCATTTGAAGAATATTTACCTGTTGATTCCTCCTTGGAAAATAACCCCAACAACAAAAACTGAATGTCTTTTAAAATGTATTGTGGGTTTTTGTTGTCCTCAGATGGAGAAAAGCGTCAGCATCATGTGACTAGCAAGTGCAACTTGATCACTATTGACCTGTAGGCCACAGTTTAGGATCAGCTGTTAAAAGCTGTGTTAGAAGTCAATTTTAGATAACTTTTCTCATGCTGAATTTTTTTAGAACTTGCCATAGATGATCATTAATTTGACTCTGAACACCAGACATTGTTTATTTTCTTTATTTAACAAAGGTTTGAGCAGTGTAGGAATTCTCTGTCTCATTTGTATTGAGTGATGGAAATAGCCACTACTATAGGCAAAACTTAATTAAGTATGAAGCTGCTCATTTCTTGTATTAAGCATTATGCAACATGTTAATCATTTTACAGCTCTCCTGGAATACTTTCAGCTTGGCAATATTAATTCAATATAAAATATATATTGCTTTGAAAATAAGAGTGACTAAACTGTAGAGAATTAACATTTTTCTCAATCTTAAAGCTACAGCTTCATGGTCTATCTTGAAATCATGATGGGAAAATAGGGTATTCTTCAAATAAATTCAATATCTATTTTTTCCATAAGAGAAATGATGGAAAAGCTAAATTAGTATTATAAAGTGTTATCTCTGAATTAAGTATCACATCCTGCCCTTCTCCTGCACATGAACTGATGGCAAGATAATAGCCTGGACTGTCCAAATCAAAATTGAATTTCGAGTGAGTGCACTGACAGAGGTTAGCGTTGTTTACTTTCTCCTGTATGCTTCTTCATACACTATCTTACCACAGTGCATTTGTGCTTGAAACCTCTTCCGGCATACTGATGTCTTACTAAAAGGAAAGTAAAAATGTAATGTGCAATGTTGATATGCCTATTTTTAAGATCCTCATAGGCAATGGGATTTATATTTCATGCGCCCCTCATTTTCTCTCTATCGCTTCATCTTCCTTTTAGCCTGTCATCATCTTTGAAGTGTTGGATTATGCACTATAATTAAGTTCAAAACAATACATATTTAGCTTTAGTTTTAATTAAATACATTTGTACATGAACCATTTTTTTCCCCATTCTTTTTAACAGATAAACAATCAGATATTGTATGGAAGAAGCCACCAAAATGCCTCTGCAATAATTAAGACTGCTCCGTCAAAGGTCAAATTGGTTTTCATACGGTAAGACCAGTTCTCATCAAAACATCTAGTTGTAGTTGAGCCCGTACATTAATAGCCTCATTTTCAGAGATGCTGAGCCCCTTCAATTTCCTTTGAAATAAGATAATATTTTTCTAAACCACGTTTCTGAGCATTGTCGAGAAGATCTCTGTAATGTTTTTTAAAATATCTTTCCAAGGATAACTGTGATGGCCTGCTCACCCTCTGGTGAGCAGCTGACACAGATGCTTAGTGACTGTTTATCTGGTACCTTTGCTGCCACCATTATGTACACCAAGTATTCACTCCTTGTCTCTCTTAGATTTATAGTTAAAAGGTTTAATCGTTTCTCCCTAGGAACTGGAAACCCAGAGATACACTCTAGCATGTGGTAATTATTATGTAGCATCACTTTGAGAAGTAGCAGTTAGGTATCTAAATAACTTAGTAGCACATATCAGGCTTAGTCTTAGAGTTAGTGCAAACAAAGCATCTTATTTATTACACTAAGGACAACTATAATCTAACATGGAATTGGAAGCATTAAAGAAATAGTTTTATACACAGAAACTGCTCAACTTACCAGGTCTATGTAACTCTACCTTGAGTGTCTTAATTATTTACAAATATACATATATACTGTGCCAGGACCTGCGAGTCCGTCACTTTCTCTGAGAAACTCTGCCCTCCAAAGCCCACCGCAGTCTACCTATATGGGAAGCTTCTGGGGGCTAGGGACACCAAGCTGAGCTCTCTTCAGGTTTCCTCCTCAGAGCTCTGCTAACCCTTATTAAGTGAGCCACCCTCTCCAGGCAAGTCTATCTAGACCTTCTGTCTGACCCTCCAACTCCCTGTTCCCTGTGACTGCCCTGTCAACCTTCCCAGATCTCCCTTCTCAAGATCCACTCTCCAAATGTCACCCTGACCAACTCCCCCCCGAGGTTCCACCCTCTGGTGATGTCACTGCAGATGATGTCACCAGCCTCAGCAGTTCCTTAACAATAACTTTGTGGAAATCTGAGAGATGCAGGGGGCAGTTCACACCTCGTAGAGCAGGGGGTCTCAAACTAGGGGTTGCGGGGGGGGGGGCAAACCGCGCTTTGCCTCCAGCATTTATAATGGTGTTAAATATATAAAAAAGTGTTTTTAATTTATATGGTGGGGTCGCACTCAGAGACTTGCTATGTGAAAGGCGTCACCAGTAAAAAAGTTGGAGAGCCACTGTCTTAGAGCTCTGGTTTCAAGCTGCCTGCAAATGGCATCATTGCATCATTCATGGTTTCATGCTTTCTTCTGTAGTCATCAGGACTAGAAACTAGGATTCTCGTGTTGTCAAATGTTTATGTTGTGTATGCACATGCCTGTGACTTAATCTGGCCTGACTGGGAAGGGAAATCATAGAATATCAGGGTTAGAAGGGACCTCAGGAGGTCATCTAGTCCAATCCCCTGCTCAAAGCAGAACCAATCCCCAACTAAATCATCCCAGGCAGGACTTTGTCAAGCCTGACCTTAAAAACCTCTAAGGAAGGAGATTCCACCACCTCCCTAGGTAACCCTTTCCAGTGCTTCACCACCTTCCTAGTGAAAAAATGTTTCCTAATATCCAACCTAAACCTCCCCCACTGCAACTTGAGACCATTACTCCTTTTTCTGTCATCTGCTACCACTGAGAACAGTCTAGATCCATCCTCTTTGGAACCCCCTTTCAGGTAGTTAAAAGCAGCTATCAAATCCCCCCTCATTCTTCTCTTCTGCAGACTAAATAATCCCCGTTCCCTCAGCCTCTCCTCATAAATCATGACCTAGACAAATTAGAGGATTGGGCCAAAAAAAACCTGATGAGGTTCAACAAGGACAAGTGCAGAGTCCTGCACTTAGGACAGAAGAATCCCATGCACTGCTACAGACTAGGGACCAAATGGCTAGGTAGCAGTTCTGCAGAAAAGGACCCAGGGGTCACAGTGGACGAGAAGCTGGATATGAGTCAACAGTGTGCTCTTGTTGCCAAGAAGGCTAATGGCATTTTGGGCTGTATAAGTAGGGGCATTGCCAGCAGATCGAGGAACGTGATCGTTCCCCTTTATTCGACATTGGTGAGGCCTCATCTGGAGTACTGTGTCCAGTTTTGGGCCCCACACTACAAGAAGGATGTGGAAAAATTGGAAAGAGTCCAGCGGAGGGCAACAAAAATGATTAGGGGTCTGGAGCACATGACTTATGAGGAGAGGCTGAGGGAACTGGGATTGTTTAGTCTCCAGAAGAGAAGAATGAGGGGGGATTTGATAGCTGCTTTCAACTACCTGAGGGGGGGTTCCAGAGAGGATGGAGCTCAGCTGTTCTCAGTGGTGGCAGATGACAGAACAAGGAGCAATGGTCTCAAGTTGCAGTGGGGGAGGTCTAGGTTGGATATTAGGAAACACTATTTCACTAGGAGGGTGGTGAAGCACTGGAATGCGTTACCTAGGGAGGTGGTGGAGTCTCCTTCCTTGGAGGTTTTTAAGGCCCGGCTTGACAAAGCCCTGGCTGGGATGATTTAGTTGGGAATTGGTCCTGCTTTGAGCCAGGGCCGGCTCCAGGCACCAGCTGAACAAGCAGGTGCTTGGGGCGGCCAAGGGAGAGGGGCGGCACCTGAGGCAATTCGGGGGCGGCAGGTCCCTCACTCCCTCTAGGAGCAAAGGACCTGCCGCTGTACTGCCCC